CGCCAATTGTGCGAATAAAGAAGTCTAAACACATTCTTTTGACAAAGCCAAGCTATGTTGATGCTCACTGGTTGACCGAAAGCCCCCTCAAGCCAACCAGAGTGTCGATTCAGAAGTCTGCGGAGTTGACGTCTGTCGACTGAGCGATGGTACTGCAGCTTGAAAAAGAACCTCATCGGATGATGTTTCTTCGTGAAGACTGTAGTTGATGCAGGTTTCTGCTTCAACTCATGTTTGTGCACTTGCCGACGAATCCAATGACCTGCATAACCTCTTTCTCGCAGTCTGGATGTGAAGACTTTGAGGTGTAGCATCTTGTCTTGTTGGTATACATTCGTCCTGTCGATTCTGCGCAACTCGCCTTGCACAAAACTTGAGAACATGTTGTCGGGATGACAGCTGTTGGGAGGAATGTACTGGTATATATTCATCGGCTTCCGGTGCATACTCCATGTAAGTCTTCGTGAAGCATCAACGAGTAACTCCAAGTCCAAAAACACCGAACGTGTAGATGTTTGTGCATGGTCCCACTGGATGTTCTCGTGGAATGCGTCGAGTTTGTTCTGGAACCGTTGTAAGGCTGTGCCCGAAATGCAGTAAACCGCATCATCAACCAAGCGTCTGTATAACAGCATCTCTTGTGGGTAGAAGTCATTCATTGCAAAACCGTCCACTTCTGACATGTAGATGTTTGCCATTGTAACTGCGCAAGCCAGGCCTGTAATAATTCCTGACGAGTTCTTGTATACATGGCCTTTGTAGCTTATGTGCTGTCCCTTCATCAGGTATTCTATGCTTGCAATCAGCAAAGTCCCAAATTTGTAATTCGTGTTGTAGAACTGTCTTATTCGTCTTGACAACACGGGCAACAGAGCTCTGGGACTTGTGTCAAAACCACCAGCGTTGGGAATCATCGGGTACAAGTTGCGAACATCTGATGTGCAAAGGATATGTCCTTCAGGGACTTGCAGATTTTTGATGGCATCTACGAAATGCGCGGAAGATTCCACAACGGTAGAACATGTCTTCATGATCGGAGTCAAACCCTCATTGACAAAAATGGCCTGAGGCTGGAGGAAGCTCTGCGTCAAGTTGCCGATGGGGCGCCCGACGACCGGTTGCTTATGTAGTTTTAGCCTTACACGAAACTCGCCAGGGTATGACGAAGTGAATCGATGTTTGATGAACTCGCCAACCTTCTCCGGGACATGACCTGAAACACTTGCATCAGTGAACAGACAATCAATAGCTGTTTTGACTTGGTGGACTGCATCGGTGTATTCCGCTTTTGTAACTTGTTGAAACCCTTCACCAAGTAAGCGATGACACTCTGCTTGCACAAAGGATTGGTCGGCGATGGCATCACCGACGTTTTTGTCACAGTCCACGATGCATAGATCAGGATGTTCACGAAGCCATTTCAAAGCCAAGCGGTCGTACCAATTGAAATTGTTTGTGAAGCGCTTGGGGCCTGATTTGGCGAACATGTTCACGTCCTTAGTGGTCTCGGAGATGTACTTGCTGATGTTGGGGTCTGATGGTGGTTTCCACTCAGACGGTAAAGTACACTTTCTAGTCAACGAAGATCTGTGAAAGTGTAAAGGCTTGTCCTTGAAGAAGTGGCCCAAATTCAAGCTGCGATGTAGTGTAGCCAGACCTTGTTTGATGTGTTGGAACGACGAAAAAGAACGATCAATAATGAACTTGCCACCTTTGCATAGAAAATGCTGTACAAATCTGGGAATGGCCCTCGAAGTCAATACGTGGATGCCTTTCATGGTCAGCCGGCCTTCAAGCTGTACAAGGTTGGACCTGAAGAACCGTGCAATGAAAAATCTTTTCCGATTGATAGAACCATCTGGCATCCAGTAAGAGTGACCTCGAGGGCGATGCCGTCAATACTTACGTGACTGTGGCTGCTGGTGACTGGATTTACCGCCGAAGTTCTGAGCCCCCCTTCCCTGTGCCTTAGCTTTGCCTTTCTGTTTGCCTTTCCCTTTTCCTTTTTGTGATCTCCATGCCGATCTGGGGGAAGCATCTGTAAACCTGACCTTCCTCGAAGAGTTGGTTGACGAAGCTCGTCCGCCTGTCGATGTAGATCGAGCGGTCCTGGTAGACGATGCGCGGAGTGCTGATCTTAGGAAAGGAGTCGGTGTACGACGCGTCTTCGAATGTTTGGGTGAACGACTCGTCTTCAGGGAGCGTGGTGACTGCGATGGTGTACGGCGGTGACTGGGTGAACGCCCTCTGGTAGCCAAGGTCTCGAAAATGGTCTTCTTGTCTTGCACGATCTTGATGTTCATGTCCTTGGCAAGAGATGGGTTGTCTTTGAGAAGGCGCCCGAGCGTATCTTTGTGGCTGACCAGACGCGGACCTTTCTTTCCTGATGGCATATGTGCTGCTTCCATGGCTGCCATGCCTATGATGTGACGAATGTCCGCATCCTGGAATTCCTCCTCTGCTTTCAATTCCTCCTGTTGTTTTCGCTGGTTCTTTTCGGCGGTAGCTCGGAGTCTGCCTTTGGCTGCTGGATCCTCTGTGCGAATAAAGCATGAAACGTATTGGGGAACTATAGCTTTGATTGCTGATTTGATGGCTTGTGACAAGACGCAAGTGGCAGACATGAAGAATCCGTCCAACTTCGCATCCAAGGACTCAATCAAGGCTTCTTTGGTGACGAGCTTTTCGAAATACTGCGCGCATAAAGCTTGATGTTGGAAAATGAATGTCTGAGCCTCCTTGGCATGTCTTTCCCGCATGGCATGCCAAGCTGCTTGTAGATCATATCCCTCTACTTGCACAGTGTCGTGATCAAAAGCTTCACCTCGAAATGGCACTGCTGCAGCTAGATACCGCTGAGGCCATTGCCACGTGTGTTTAACTTCATTTTCGAACTGCTTGTGCCATGACTTCTTCTCCTCGATGAGTTTGTACTTTTCCATCAATTGTTGTTGAGTAACCCAAGCTGCGAGGATAGACTTTGCCTCCTTGTACCAAGAGCGAAAAATTTTCCGTACTTCTGGGTCCACTGACACCAGAAGAGAATCTGGTGCATGGTACGTCAGGTCCGTCTTTGTTCCGTCGTCTGAGCTCCTGGACTGCAACATAGATAGTTCCTCAGTGTGTTTCTGTTGTTGTTGAGCCATCTGTTCCATGAGCAAGGTCTGTCTCTCCATGAGTTGTTGTAGTACTGGATTCATGTCAAGGCCGGGTGGGGCCTGTATTGACGAGAGTGCCGCTGCGCGATCCGCTGAACTTGCCCTGGGTCTTTTGGCTCCGCCTGAAACCGCGAAGTCGCTAGGTTGGAAGAGAGGAGCAGATGGAAGTCCCGAAGTCATACTGTAAGAACGCTTCTGAAGGTGGCGAGAAAGCAAGAGCTGTACGCTGACACACTCTGATCACTGCTTTTCTCAAGCCC